CAACTTGCCTTGTAACCGGAAGGTCCTTGGTTCGAACCTCACTGAGGGGGGTGCGTACTGCCGATGATTCCCAAACTAGGAGGAGGGGTTGAAACAGCTGTCCAGTACTCCCTGTGGCTGGTTTTCAATGCTTCTCCAAGTGAAATCAATCCGTGGTCAAACTCGTAAAAACATGTGACTTCATCATACAACTGTTGAGTGAGGTTGATGAAGGTTTTGAAGCACTCCGTTGCGTTGAAGCAGTTTTCAAATCACCTCTCGATTAGCTCTGTCATAGGCATTTCAAAGCCCTTGAAGCTGTTGAGGTAGAGATTTGACTGCGATGCCCCACTGTGCTCAGTGATGTTGCGAAATTTAACTGCTATTGGATTTTTCTGTAAATAAAAATATTTTTTGTTAAAGAACTCTATGGATTAGTAGCCTCCATCAAATAATGCTCGTGGTGATTTGAAAGATTCTGAGGGAAGGCGATTTTTGAGAAACTTCATGCATTTATTCCTATTGATGAATTTGAATAAAGCAAGAACAACAGTGTGGTCTGTGCAGAATAATTTCCTACCATCATTGCTTCTTTCGTCGGCTTCTCATCAGCTCAGCTGCTTACAGCCTAAATAAATTATGAGGTTTATGTACAGAAAAGTTTTAACACACTTGCAAATTTTTCATTATGTCAGTTGACAGAAGGTTCCACAATTATTGAACAGTGCTCAGAAAATTACACTTATATAGTTTTTACACAGCCACTTCAAGTTTAAACAAAATGAATGTATGCATACAATGGTAAAGGAGTTAGGTAATAAGGATAGGAAATGCGTAAGATGCAGACTGACTGATATATTAGGTAACAATGTACTGAGTTCAACTTAAATCATAGAAACAAGAGGTAAGCAAAATTACAGATTATAAAAGGGGCATGAGGTTAAAGCCTGTCCTCATTCAACTAGATTTTAAAGGTGAAAACATTGCAGCAATGGTCAACAGAAGACTGAATACGTCACCAGCCAGATAAGTTGGCTCCCGTCCATCGAACAACATGCTCTTTGGTGCAGTCAAAAGTCGACAGATACTCTTCTCATGTTAACTCCAACTGTGCATACAAATTTACGTGTATCTGCGGGAGCAGAGTTACATTGGGAGAACAGAAAGAAGGGTACACCTCCGATTTTCTGAACATGAGCCGAAAAGCCTACGTCTCAAGGGAACAACCTCTTATAATAGCCCTATTACTAGACATCTCCTCGGTACGGGTCATGAGGTGGAAATCACGAAATCCTTTAAAATTATCAACAGACAAAGGAGGTCGATTCTCCTCAAGTTTGCCGAAGCAATTTCTATCAAACGCTTGAAAGCAGATTTATGTGTTCAGAAAGAAGCAGTTATCAGTCTTTCCTTGCCCTGATAACTGGATGTCTGTATTCTCTAATCCGATTACGTAATGTTCGTCTTTAACCTTGCCCCCCTTTTAAAATCTGTAATTTTGCTTACCTCTTGTTTCTATGATTTAAGTTGAACTCAGTACATTGTTACCTAATATATCAGTCAGTCTGCATCTTACGCATTTCCTATCCTTATTACGTAACTCCTTTACCATTGTATGCATACATTCATTTTGTTTAAACTTGAAGTGGCTGTGTAAAAAATATATAAGTGTAATTTTCTGAGCGCTGTTCACTAATTGTGGAACTTTCTGTCAACTGACAACAGGAGAAATTCGCAAGTATGTTAAAACTTTTCTGTACATAAACCTCATAATTTATTTAGGCTGTAAGCAGAAGCTGATGAGAAGCCAACGAAATAAACAATGATGGTACCATGCATTATTCTGCACAGACCACACTGTTGTTCTTGCTTTATTCAAATGTGCTCATGGTTTTCACTCTGTGTGTAGGCTAATTGAATTTGTACTTTGATGAAGAGTTGAATATAGTCACAAATGTGTATCAGGAATAATAGTATTGTAGACAATCTATAATGAAACGTAACTGTATATGGCTATTAGGTTCATGAGCTTGAGTCCATGCATTAAACAAATTTATTTAATTACACTTAGAAAGGTTACCTATGAGACATGGTCATACATGGTCATTGAAAGTAGAAGATGTTATGAAAAGGCTTGCTGTCTTTGACTACAGATGTTTGCTTTTTATCTCCTGTGTTAAACCGTATAATTTGCTGGGTAATGTTTAAGTTAGCCGTTGAGTGTTAGGTAAGTCAGTTGACGAGGTTGTGATCGCTAGAACATGTGTTGCACCTACCGAACCATCGGCTTCTTCGATGAGTAATGTTAGTCGACATAGGATATTAGGCTGGAAAAGAGTTAGGGGTGGTCGTCAATCTAAAACCTGACAATTAGTCCATAACATCTCCATCAGTTGTTTTTTTTGAGCCATGTAGGGAGGTGTAGGGTGTCTGGTTAATTTTATCGGGATGCTAAGGTCCAATGTCTCGGGATAATTGGATGTTAATCGCGATAGATAGATAGATCGAGTGTATGATAGACAGCTAATCAATATGATGTGACCTTCTTGTCGCGATTATTGGTTAATTTAATGTAACTCACACCACGTGATGTGACCTTGAGTGTTGTTTGTTGTCTGTCACTTGATTTGTGTGTACATGTAATTAACTGTAATTATCCGTTCATTTTGTCCGTTACCTCAATACTGTTCGGTACGTTTTTGTCCTTTTTTGAATGACAGTGGATTTGTACACTTTTCTTGGTGTAATTGTATGATTTATTTTATGCTTTAGAAACAGATAAAGTTTAAGTCGAGTGATTCTGTTTTTAACCATAGTTAAGCCGAGACTCTGTGTCGTCAGTATTGAGGAAGGACTAAATCTGTAGGCAAAAATAGTCCTACATTGGATATAGCTCAAACTCAATCAGTCCAAAGGTACTGGACTGTACTGTAATCAATCAGTCAGACATAGAAAGACTAAAGTACTCGACATTGTCAGGAACAATGATTATTAATGCATAATGTTGTGATATAATATAAAAAAGATCCTAATTAAATTCAGTGAGATGTGTTGGTTGGTGTCTAGTAAATATGTCGTCTTTCTGTACAATACTTTCAGGATTGAAAACGCTTAATAATAATAATAATAATAATAGCAGTAATACTGATGTCTTGAAATAATAGAGAAGATCTGCAGCTCAGGCAGATGAGTTTGACATGGTTGTATTCTCTGAGTTGTTTAATTTAAATGGCGAAGTCTTCTCTGTCTTTCTAGTAGACAACATCTTCAGCTCAAGCCTTAATATAATGTTGAACTTGTTTGAATCTTCCATGATCGATAATACACTGGTACCTTCTGACAAGCATTGTTGTGACTGGTAGTCAATTTACATTGATCATTATTTTTATTGACTTGGAAGTTGAACTTTCTTGTCATGTGGTTTATTTTCTATTAGTTGGTAAAATTGAATCTCTAGTGTAATGTATTTGTTAATCGCTGATTCATCTGACTACCAACCAGACTTGTAGAAATTCCCTGTCATTACTTTTGGTATTTCCTGTTCTCATCATTCAATATTGTGAAGACATCGACAGCAAAAGAAGATCAGATCTAGAAAATAAATTGCATGCATGAACTGTGATGAACACTACATCTGTGAAAGTGGACGTCTCCCTCGACCAGGAATCCGAAAACACAATAAATTAACTGTAAAAAGACATGACATGTATTCCTGTTTCATATCGATGCGTGTGTGTAGACAATCAAGGATACCAATTCTGTTGGGATTATGTAGAAATTTTAAATAGAGGAAACACCAAAATTTCAGTCAAGGAATTCCTAGAAGCCTGGTACTCAAGTGAATTAATTAGCACTTAACAAACACATGACTGGTTACAGGATTTCATCATGAGCTGACATTGGTTACAGAACCATTGGAAAACTTGCAGGGAGTGCTGGACAGCTGTTTCGTAAGCTTAGTTTGGGACTCTTCACAGTACGCACCCACCGCCAGGGTTCGAACCCAGGACCTTACAAGGCGAGCTCGTATGCCATTAACTCACTTGGGACCGATCCAATGGCTAGCCCATGAATTCTAACTTCTGCCAATTCATGACATAGCGCGACCGCTAGCCAATGTCTTCGGCGAGTATCTGTCCTGACACCCGACCTGCTGCGCCCTACTGGTCACGACTTCTCACTAGAACCCAGGTAACTACCAATCAATCAGATCGCTACAAACCAATACTTGAATATTAAACACATGACTATGGACCGAATTTACTAGCCAAAAAAAGTAAATCAAATGACAAGAATGTTCGAATTCCAAGTGAATAAAAATGCGATGACCAATGAAGATGCAATTTTAACAACCAATCACAACAATGGTTGTCAGGAGTTAGAATTATATCATCCTTCAAGTGGAGAATTGAAATAAGTCCACTTTATATTAAGGCTTGAGCCGAAGATCTTGCCTAGAAGGACAATGGAAACTTCGCCATTAAATCAAACAACTGAAAGAACACAACCAAGTCAAAGTACTGCTACCCGTTGAATTGAAAGTGTACCTTTCAATAACTGTCTAGGCATCACGTTTAAAATATCATTAAATGCTGGCTGTATTGATAAAACTGATTTTTCCAAAGTAAAGGTCTAGTGCTCGGTCGGTATATCTGTGTAGCTGGATGAGCTCGCCTTGTAACATCTCAAGGTTTTGGGTTCCATCTCTTGTGAGATGGTCGTTGGCGGGCATTGCTACGAAGACTCCTGAACTAGGATGATATGCATGAGCTGTCTAGTGTCCCCCACCCCACCCCACCCCCTGGTTTACGATGGATCCATATTTCGATTATCTTTTGGATACATAGGGTGGAAGAAAATTTTCTTTTCGACGAAGCCATCAACTAGGCCGTACATTCTTGTATTTGTAATAAATGGGTGGGAAAGTTCCACAATTATCATTAGAGAACAAATATTTCTTTTTGTCTTTGGTTATGAATTTTATGTGCCCATTTTTCTTTCCTCCTTCTTTTCAATAAAAGATGTCGAAAACTGATTCACAACATTTGCCACATGGTGAATTTGTTCCACACGATCCGGCGAAAAATGACTTGACTGTATTTGTCAGTAATCTGGATTATTCAACGACTGAAGATCAGTTGCGAAAGACATTTGAAAAGGTGAGTGCTTTTATTGATTTTATTTATTGATTTTTTTAATAGGCATCAGTCTTGTAGTCATGAGTAGTGTAAGAATGTCATTGTAAATTCAAATGTAGAATGATGTTCATGTTGAGGCAGCTGGTCCATATCGACTCACTGTTTAAGCCTAAAGAGTGAAGTGGTTGAAAATGTTGATAAGTTTTACTATCAAGGAAGAAATAGTGAATATTACTGTATAACACCGTGAAAGTTTATCAGTGAAATTATACTCTACCTCCACAGTGCACAAGTACTATTCTTATATATTAACAGAGTAATTTAACCAGGTTCTATGCAATGTAATTATTTCAGTCTTCTAAGCCTAATCTTTCCTGAACCTAACCGCTAACGTGAAAATATCTCTATACTAACTGTAATCTAACTCGAACCAACCCTAATGTTGCCTTTATTAGGTTAACCTAACCCCAATTTGTCCTTGGCTTGCTCAGTGTTGGCGTTTCAAGGTCATTGGTGCAGTCGCGCACTGAATTGGTAGATTGTGGTGCTGAAAGTTTAACTCGGCCTGGATATCAATTAAAGATTCATTGAAAACCAGCAGCGTGTACTTGACAGCTGTCTCGTCCCATTCTGGGACTCATCGTCAGTTTGCACCTACCGGAGGACACTTAGTTGCCTGTAGTTCTTCTAGTGAGAAGTTGTGACCAGTAGTGGGTGATGGATGGCACTGAAATCACGAATTGGTAAAAATTAGAATTCATTGCATTGGGTGACTACTAAATTGGGTCCCAGTGGCTGAGTAATAGTCTAAGACGTTGAGTTGTAAACGGAGGATCCTGAACTCGAATCTTGGTGGTGAGCTGGCGCTGATGATGAGTCCTGAACTTGCACGAAACAGCTGGCCGGTTTTCAATGGTTCTCCAGCTATTATTATAAATCTATGACCAAGCTTGAAACTGATTAATTGTCAAACCTTTCATTACTGCCAGTCATTTTGGTGGGTAACACAGCAATAGGAAAGCTGTAAAATGATATCATCTCATAATACTATTTGTCATCTGAATGCCTTATTCAAGTTTAATTTATATTACCTGTTTCTTTGCAACACAGTACTAATTAAATCAATTTTGTTTTACAAGAGTGTTTTTTCTTTACTTTTTTGCGTTCCGAATGATGAAACATTGGGCTTCAAGGTCTTACAGTTTCAGTAGATGTTCTTGTTGTTTTTACAGGGGGTGGTAGAGTTGCTAGCTGCACACCTAGCTAGCCTTTCCTCTTTTTCTGTCGGTTTGTAAACTGGAAGATATTTCAAAGTGTGTCCGTTGGGCGAGAATCAAACCTGAATCTCCTGCGTGATCATCGCGAAGCATTGTATCACTGTCAACTATCAACGCTAAGTGTATACCCTTCTGTAAAGTCTCTTATAACTGTGAATAATATCAGTACTAAGATTCAGATTTATCGGTAACTGTTGAATCTCTTATGGCTGGAACGATAGTCGAGTGAAATAAGCAACTAGACTGACTTACGGAATACGATAGTTCCCTCATATAAGTTAGTTTCAGCGATGAAGGTAAGACTTTAGGTTGGTTCAACATTGGTAGAATGCTTACTGACCCACTCGAGTGGTCCGTGATTCTATCTCCGACCGATACACTCCTAAACGTCGCTTGACCAGTGGTAATTCCGGTAAAGAGAGAAAGTTGGCTGTAAAAACTTCTACCGAAACTTAAAAGCTGAAGCTTGAATACTACGTATGTTCGACTCAGAACGCAAAGGATTAAAAAGCATCTGGTTATATAGAGTCCAAGATTAGGTCAATGGTTTTCGAATCCTATTTTCAAAAAATCTTCTGTCTCAACAGCTGACCACTTGATGAATTGCCCATCCTGTTTTTTAAAGTTGGGTTTTATAAAGTCTATAAATTTGTAAATCCATCTCTGTGTATTATTTTACTTTATTTTTGCTTTTGTTTGATAATATTCAGTGTGGTGAATTAACCTCTGTTCGCCTTGTTCGTGATTATGCTGGTCGATCTAAAGGATTTGCTTATATTGAATTCAAAGATAAAGATTCGGTAACCGCCGCGCTCGCATTAGATAGACAACCAGTTGTAAGTGATGAATGCTTTGAGAATAATGCTTCATCAAATCTTGACAATAATTTACAAGATGAAAAAGATCAAGGAACAACAACAACAACGACGACAACGGTGGCAGAATCTTCGAAATCATCGACACCCTTTAAACGACCAATGTTTGTATCGATCTGTGATCCAAGTAAAGTGAAAGCCTCTGGATTCAAGTATACAGTTGGTAAAAAAGAACCAGGAATATTGTTTCTACGAAATTTAGATAAAAATGTAAAAAGTGGAGATTTAGTGAGATTATTTAGAGAGGTTAGTTGGTTAGTTTCTATGTATCTTCGTTTTTGCATTAATCCAATATCTTTCTTTTTTGACTGGTAGGTAATACAAAAAACTACTCTGATCGCTAATCACAGCGTCAACTGCTAGCACACGAAGATACAAGAAGGCTGTTTCTTTGTCTCAGACCACAGTTGTGAAGGATACTGAATAATTTAGGTTGCACTGATAAGTCCAAAGAATTAGTCGAATCAGTGAGAGCCCAGCCTGTCTGTTTTCGACATAGAACTTTGCACCGATGTGCGGCAGTGTAAGTCGCCACACTCCCTCCTTGTAGCACACAAAGCAAGAGAAGAAGAAAGTAGGAGAAATGCATATTAGAGACAGTAAACAGAGGTGTGAGACAAAATGAATAGTAATAACGAAGAACAATATAGTTTAATTGGAAATCATAAGTCACAAGGAGTGGGTGTATCTGCGTCAGCCATTGAGAACGATTTTGAGCCATGTCACCAATTGTTTCCAGCCTTCATTGGTTTTTACCGTCTCGAGGACCCCAACCAGTTAGGAAGTCTGCACCTTCCTACGTGGCTTAGACTAACTGTTGTAGATTTCATTGACTGGTGCCATGTTTTCGTCTGATCACCGCTAGCTCTTTTCCAGTGTGCGAGAGTGAGAGCCCAGTCTTCACAAAGAGTGACTTTTACAAACAAGAAATGCCACACAAGGATGTAAACATTTCATTAAGGCAAGTAAAATGATTACAGCTTTGATCATGAGCTGATATCACTGAAAAATCAAGTGGTACTGGATAATTGTTTCGTCCTATTCTGGGGTTGTTCAGTGGTACAACCCACCGGTCAGTGTTGGAACTGAGGACCTTCCGATTACAAAGCTAGCTGGTAGACCATTTAGCCACCGGGACCTGGTTGAATGGCTCATGAATTCCAGATTCTGCCGATTCACGGGATGCATAAAGTGGGACAGCCGCTGAATGTCAATAGCGAGTGACTGTTCTCAAATACCTGCAAACCAATACTTAGTAATTAGAGTGATTCTCATTAGTGACTGTCTTTGTACAGGAAGTTACTTGGATTTCTAGTGGGAAAACGTGACCAGCGGGATCCACCAAGCGAGGCAAGACAACAGTTACTTTCCTGCGATAGTAGCTGGCGGTTACATTAAATACAGTATCATGAATTGGTGGAAGTTGGAATTTATCGCCTGGCCATTGGGTGAGGTCTCATTGGCGGCGGTATTGTCTACGAGTCCATCTTGTAACTGGAAAGTTCAGCGTTTGAATCCCGGTAGGTGTATACTGATGAAGGGTCACAACAACTATCCAGTACTCCCTGATTTGCCACTGGTTCCGTGAGTAGTGATATCAGCTTGTGATGTAACTTGTTTTCAATAGACACACACCCTGGAAACCGACATTTGATCGAAATTGAGACCACGTTATGGATGGTATTCCAATTGTAATCAGTGTATATCTGGCTTCTGAAATGATGTTCTGTCGACTGTATTGCAAGACTCATATGGCTGTATATTTCCACTTTCACTCAAATAGTCGTCATGATGGTTTGTTTAGGGTATACTGTATGAAAGGAAGATACATAACTGAAAATTACTGTGACTGTTTCATTAAGTTACCTTCATGACAATACCATTGGTGTTGATTGATGGAAAAGAAAATTCAGGTGTCTTAGTTCGTGCTGAGAATATTATTGTATAGCTTTTGTTCATGCGGTTATTGTTGACGTCATGCAGTAATGATTGATCTTTTAACACCCGAAAACCTCCGTGGTCACTGGATTCATTATCTTGAAGTTATCTGTTTCGCGTTGGATAACAGTACAATCCAGAACACGCATTTCATTTCCATTTGGGACTTGTCACAATATAGGTAATGCTGTTCCCGCTGAGAATCGAATCCAGTACCCATCGCTTCAAAATGGGATTGATTCCTTTTAGCCAGATATACCAAGAGTTAACTGTCGTCGTTAAGTTGACAACATTTTGGCGTTTGAAACGACGAGTACTGACCACCTAGTGTATCGGTAGTAAGACTACTGTTACTTGCTGTGGATCTAGGAACATCCAGATGACGAGTCCTAAACATGATGAAACACGTCTCATGGATTTCAGTGCTAACCATTTTATCGACCAGATAACATGGGGATTCATTACTCAGTTGTTCATGATTTGTCACTCTTGAATAACTGAATATGTGTCATGAAAGAACTTTTATGCATTTGTCACATTATTGAGCTTGTGAATTGAGGCTTCTTTTGTTTGTGTATTTTTTGTCAACCCACCATTTACTCATGATTAATTTCTACTTATTTTGGTATTTTGTTTATTTTTCTTTCAGTATGGACTTGTAAGTATTTGTCTGGTCACCTGTCCAAATGGTGTGCCTACAGGTGATGCGTTTATTGAATTTAAAAGTGCTGATGATGCCAGTCGAGCGTTGATTGCTATCGATGGTTTACAGTTTGGTAGTAAAGTGCTGTCAGTAGCTATTAGTGAACCACCTGTCCGCCAGGATGCATCTCAAAGCTTTAAACCGCCTACAATGAAAAGCAATGAAACATGTGAAACACCACAATCAGATTTTACTGGTGGATCTTCTGCGTAGGTTTCAACCTTTTTTTTAAAAAACAATGTTTGTTATGATGTTTTGGTTTTTCTTACAATGGGATTCAATTATGTGGAAAAAAACACCCGTTGTTTTGTAAACCAAGTAGGGAAGTGTAGACAGTCTCGATTAGTTGAGGTCTCCGAGACACTAAGAACCAATTATTATTATTATTATTGTTCCCTTGGGTTCCTAGTGGAACATAGGGCTTCAACTGCACGCCTCCACTTGTTTCTGTATTCTGCTGTACTTTTCACCTGCATCAATGTTATTTAATACTGTTTCAACTCCTCTTCACACGATCTCCTCCATGTCACCCTTGGACGACCTACTCGCCACTTCCCTTTCGGGTTCCACTCGAGCACTGGCCTGACGCTCGATGTCACACAGCGGCCTCCTCAGCTCAGCGAGTGTCCAATCCATCTCCACTTTCTCCTTCATATTTGTTGAGCGATTGGTTCTTGTTTTGTTGGTTCCCATAGTTTCTTGTTGGTGATTATTTCCGGTGGCCATCTGATCTTGAGTATAGAGCGAAGACAGTTAGTTGTTGATAAAGGTCTGCAACAGGCTGTTGGAAATATTCTTTGTGACCCACTGGCCAAGTTTCTGATCCGTATAGAAGAACTGACTGACTTGACGTTTGTATTGAAAATCCGAATCAGTTTGTTGTTGATGCAGGCTGAGTGACGAAGATTTCCAGATTGGTTTCAGTTTGATGAATGTGTTTCTCGCCTTCCCGATCCTCGATTTGACATCCCTGTCCGTTCCTCCTGTAGTTGAGATAATGCTCCCTAGATAAGTGAGTGAAGTAACCTCTTTCAAATCCCTCCCGTTGATGGTGATTGGCGCTGGATGTTGCTGCTGTTGCTGTTGTCGCTGGAGACTATTTTGTGATGTGGTTCATAATTGTTCTAAATGATGCAGATGCACCCACCTTTTATAGTCTACCAGATTCACTTAATTCTCATTATTCTCCGTGTATTAGTTATTATTATTATAATTATTATGGGCATCCAGAGATGTGCGAGAACTGCGATACTGCCCGGATCCCCTAGATTGAAGCTGGCGATAAGGGACGGACGCCTCTTAGCCTTTGACTTGAAGTTTGATCTGTTGCGTGTTCTGTTTGACTAAATAAGCGTACACGTATTTCCTAGTACTTCTTCACGTTTATCAATGTGCGCAGACGTTGTGGCTACTCGACGCCCACAACGTAAAATCAGAAGGCACTTGTGAAGAGTGTAATCGTGTATTATAGCCGTAGTCAAATTTCGAAAAATGTATCAAGGTAACGTTCAACAGTAAATTGACAAATGTTTACGAAGTACATATAAAATCGATATGTGTAAACATATAATATGAGTATGCAAATTAGATTAAAATCGTATGTTTATAGTTGGTATAGGGGTACTACATAATTCCCCCACCAGAACACTGAAATATAAAAAAAATACATTTAAGTGTTCGACAATAAAATGCGTCAGCGTAATACGTAGCAGCGATAGTACATAGAAAGCGATTTACTAAGCTGAAAAAAATGAGCAATTTAATGCGGTCAATAAGGCCGATAATAAATGCGATAATAAAAGAAAAAATAGGATTGATGATCGTGGTAGAATATATAAGGAATGATACAATCAGCCGGGGATCTGTAGTCTGTATACGGAAACGATACGTGAATATTAAGCGCTATATGATTAAATGTAATAATACAGGGAATATCGATGTTAAAATAGTAGTGACGTGATTTACTTATGAAAATATTAATCAGTTAAATGAGTAGTTAAATGACAATTACGAATAAAGATAATAAAAATGAAAATTCGTAGTAAGTTATATTTTGATGATTTGCACATAACGTTTAGGCCAATGAACTCTCCTACCAGAACCTGTAGTTTTCATAGGTTTCTCTGGCGACGTTGAAGCTTGCGTGGATGTAGCTGTTGGCACTTCGTTCAGCTGGTCTTTATCGTTGTCTTCGAAATCGTCGATGAACGCTGGTTTGACTCTGTCGACACTGATGGCTTCTGCTTTATTCAGTCGTTCTATCGTGATAACTTTATGGTTTCTATTTAGAACTTTGAATGGGCCATCATAAGCGGGTTGAAGTGGTCGTTGTACACCCTCTCTCCTGACGAAGACGTGAGTGCAATCTGTCAGTTGTGGCGGGATGTATGACGTTCGTTTCTGCTGGCGTGGAAGTGATATCTTGAGCTCGTTCATGTGTTGTTTTAGCTGCTGCACATAACCAGTCATATCTTGTGGAACTTGGTTACCTGGGGTGAAAAATTCTCCTGGTAGTCGTAATGTTGTTCCATAGACTAGTTCGGAAACACAGCAGCCAATATCTTTCTTTAGAGCAGATCGTATACCAAGCAGTACCAGTGGGAGTTTGGTTGACCAGTCGTTTTGAGTCAAAGAAGCAGCTAGCGCAGCTTTGAGTTGTCGATGAAGGCGTTCAACCATGCCGTTGGAACTAGGATGGTAGGCGGTTGTTCGTATTCGTTTGATGCCCAGTAATTCAGTTAGCTGTTGAAAAAGTCGGCTTTCAAACTGAGCACCTCTGTCCGTAGTGATAATGGATGGGACACCAAAATTAGCTATCCAGTTTTCGAGCAAAGCTTTAGCTACCGTTTCAGCTGAGACGTCGGCTATTGGAACTGCTACAGGCCAACGAGTGAATCTATCGACGCAAGTTAGAATGTAGTTGAAACCATTGGAAGGAGGTAGTGGACCAACTATGTCTACATGTATATGTTCAAATCTAGAGTCAGGGTTAGGAAAGCGACCAAGTGGTGCATTAGTGTGACGGTTGATTTTGACTCTTTGACAAGACAAGCAATTTCGTGTCCACTTCTTAACATCGCTATTAATGTTCGGCCATATAAATCTTTCTTTTATTAGTTTGATAGTAGCGCTGACACCGGGATGAGACAAGTTATGTAACTTCTCGAATACTGTATGTCTCATAGCTGCTGGAACGAAGGGTCGATATTTACCCGTAGAGGTGTCGCAGATTATTTTTGTCGTGCCAAAAGGAATTGCGTCTAGCTTTAAATATGTTGTTTTAGAAGACATGATCTTTTTTAGCTCGGCATCATCTGGTTGTAGGTTTGAGAGACGTTCGTAGTCGATGTCTGGGCATACAATGTTGTCAATGTGCACACGTGATAAAGCGTCTGCCACTTCATTGTTTTTACCCTTCACATGTCGCAGATCGGAGGTGAACTGAGATATAAACTCGAGATGTCGTAGTTCACGCGGAGAGTAGTTATCCTGTTTTGCTGATAAGGCTTTCGTTAGAGCTTTATGGTCTGTAAAGACAGTAAAAGCTGTACCTTCCAGCATATGTCGGAAGTGTTTGATTGCTAAATAAACAGCCAATAACTCTCTACCAAAAGTGCTATAGCGACATTGAGTAGGATTCAGTCGTTTCGAAAAGAATGCTAGTGGTTGCCATTCGCCGTGTACCTGTTGTTGTAAAACTGCCCCGATGGCAACGTCTGAAGCGTCTGTCATGAGAGACAGGGGGGCGTCATTTTGGCGTCTGACTAGAAGTGTCTTGTCATTTAACAATTGTTTGACATTTTCGAATGCTTTAACAGCTTCTGCGGGCAAATGGAATGAACGACTGTGTCCACGTAAGCAATCGGTTAATGGTTGTAAAGCTTTAGCACAGTTGGGAATAAAACGCCGGTAAAAATTAACGAGACCCAAAAAATCGTCGTAATTTTTTAAAAGAATCTGGTAATGGATAATCTTTGATGGCTTGTACGTCATCAGGGACTGGTCTGATTCCTTGGCTATCGATTAAATGACCGAGAAATTTCAGGGAGGTCTTACCAAATTCGCACTTGTCTAAGTTGATAGTCATTCCGTATTGGTTCAGTCTTTCAAACACTGTCTTCACATGTTTCAAATGCTCGACTTCGTCTGCACTTGCAATTAGTAAGTCATCGATGTATGCGTAGACGAAAGGGAGACCACGGAGTACTTGGTCAATTAGGCGTTGGAATGTCTGAGCTGCGTTCATCAGTCCGAAGGGCATGCGTACGAATTCGTATAAACCGAATGGTGTGGTAATGGCAGTTTTCGGAACGTCATCCGGGTGGATGGGGATATGATGATACGCTCGGACCAGATCGATTTTAGAGAAAACTGTAACATTTGGTAAGTTGCTAGCAAAATCGTGGATGTGTGGTATTGGGTATCTATCAGGTACCGTTTGCTTGTTTAAAGCTCGATAATCACCACACGGCCGTATTTCACCAGAAGACTTTTTGGGTACCATGTGAAGCGGTGAAGACCAAGAGCTGTTGGACGGTCGAATAATACCAAGCTCTAGCATTTTATCGAACTCTGTTTTGGCGATTTTAAGTCGATGTGGGTCAAGGCGTCGGGGACGTGCAAAAACTGGTGGTCCAGTGGTTTTAATATGATGAACCACATGATGCTTCGGTTCTGTTCCTCGAAAAGAAGGTTTTAAAAGGTCAGGA